AGGAAGGAAAATATCCTTCCTCTTCCTGCATAACTATAAAAAAGGAGACTACCTTAACCAAACACCTAACCTAACCCAACATGTCGGCTTGAAAACAAATTGGAAATTTAAAAAAAAACAGCCCGGCGAGGATTGAACTCGGGCCCCCGGGTTGACATCCCAACACACTTTAAACTCACTTTAAAGACTTTTATTGTTCACACAAATTACATTACGACACAAATTTACAGGCACATTCCAGAGAGAAACATATTATTAGAGCTCAGGGCTCTGTGATGAGTCCTCCGCGCGGTGCAGAGGTGGCCAAGGAACGTGGGTGCATTTGCGAAGTGTTAGTCTCAGAGGCCTATCTCCTGAGTCTGAGGCCAAGCCCCTTATATAGGTGATCTCGCTGAGGTAACCCAAGAGGGTGGGGGAGACGATCAGTCGCTATCAGTGGTGAGTGAGTTATGGGGGGGGGGGGGGATGGAGGAAAATAAAAGGGGGAAAATACATCCCAACACGCTGTCGTTATCGCTAACGCCAGAGATTGCTGACGCCTAGTTGAATAAACTATCTACGAAGAGAGAAGAACATCTAGCAATTCTCCGTGCACGATTGACGTCAGTTCACGTGTCCGTAAAAATTGAATTACAGACACATCAACGTGTCTATAGCGACAACCAAAACTTCAGTTGAGACTTCCGGTCTTGATGTCGCTGAATTCGAAATTATGTTCCAGAAATCTTATGGGTGCGTTTTTCATTCCAACATTTTATCATGCGCATGGATCGAAGAAACCATCAAACTGTTGCAAAATTCCGCTGAGATGTTGATGGACATCCATCAAACTGTTGTAATAAAATGCGCACTTTTAAATCGCTATTCGAGAATCCAGCAGTTTGGAGGAGATTGACATGACAGTTGACACATTTTAGTGTTGTTTTTTGTTTTGATTTGATAGAGAACAATTAATATTGAGGATTTTTGAGATTCTTGAGAGATTTCAGAAGAAAGAGTAAGTGTTAATCAATAAAATCGAATTAGCCTCTTCTGATTCTCAAGATACATGATGACTGACACACAACAAAATCCGTGTTTCCATCAATGTGTTGTATAAACCATTGTTCAATCCTTCCAGCATAAATTCCAACAGAACAATTGGTGGCGTCACGACAAAAAACCGCATCTATCAGTGCGCACTTTCTTCGATGGAATGAAAAACACGCCCTTATATGATCAAACTACTCGAACCCCGAATTAGGGGCTTCTGTGAATCTGAGTTCTTGTTAACCCGTCAGACACTCTAGATATTTAGCCGTCATTGATTTTATCCACAGAACACAGATTAAGCAGAGAGTCAGAAACTACAGCCCAATGTCAGAACAGAATGTCATAGTCTTTGGTCACAGAATCATTTGCTTCATTTAAGATTTCATTTTTTTATGGAATACTAATACTTGTATTTTATTTTTCGAAATGATTGAAATGAACAAAATACAAATGGATTGTTACATCATGGTTACATCCCAGAAGACTTTCAGAAATAGACCCAGCCACTTTTGAAATATGGTCTGATATTGAGTTCAAATGTAGGTTATGGTTAGAAAAACGAACTGTGAGATTCTCAGAAGAAATTATGTCCAAGATTGAAAGTGAGTTTCATGCTGAAATATCTGCAATTGTTATATAATTTTAATTCTTCAGGAACCATGTTCTCACACCTGATATAAAAGTGTTTGTAACATTGTGGTATATGTCAACAGGATCCATTTTGCAAGTTACATGTGATTTCAATTGATTAATTCTACAGCAAGTTGTACGCTAAGTGACAAGAACAATTGCTAGACCTAGTTGTACCTACACATTGAGCAGACCAGACAAGGTTACTTTAATATTGGTAGATTTCCAAAATGTACTGGAGAGGTAGACTGTGGACCACAAGCTGAAAATTATCTTAATTGAAAGGGTTTGTTCTCTCTCAATGCACAAGCAGAGTGATGCTGAGCTGAAAATACTGAACCTTGTGTGCTGCTGGGCTAGAGCTACTCATGATGCTTATATTTTTTGGAAATTCTAATTTGAGAGCCAAGTTGGAAAATTGAGATGCTGCACCTCCAGATGATGAGGAAATGGAAGCTGTTGTAGATTTTGTGGACAATGGACATACACAAATATTCTGCCAACTTAATGTGAATAAATGCTGAAGATAAAATAAATATGTTCAATTTTTTATTATGGTTCCAATACTTACTACTTCAACATTCTATTTTCATATATTATTAGGAATTAGTAAAACATTGTAAAACCTGCAAATATATGGATGATGTATCTCTTATACCTACATTAATTCATGATTGTTGACAATAAACATCTGAAATAAGTAAAAAAAACCTTTATAACTTAGATACAAGGCATGAAAGATACCTGTGATGTATATACATTTTTAATTAAATTGAAAAGATACCACCTAAATACAAAAATAACATTATTTCAGTAATCTATTCTCTTCTTGAAGAATTGTCATGTTTATTTCATATGTTCTTCTTTTCAGAATTTTATTTTATCCACAATCTCTGCTCTCTGTAGATTCCATCATTTCTGTTCATGGTTTTACTTGCAAATGCTTGAGTTTGAGCTGATGATCTTCTATAAAAGCAGCCTTCTAAATTTCAGCAAGTTCTATTTTTGTAGCACTCCATATTATCAACTTGCTATTCAGGGGGTTTCTGTTCTTCTTGGAAGTGTCGCCATTCTCTACAATGAGAATATAGATGTGAAGTAACAAATTGATAAGCAAAGATATCATTTAAAAGTGATTAGTCAAGTAACAGAGACATTAAGAATAAATGTGCAAGAGTAGGTATATTTTCCTCACCTTTGTCATTACTGGACCCTTTATTTACTGGTACCTTCCAGCTCTGAGTGGTGATGAAATTTGTTTTTTCAACATATCAGGGGTGTACATAGACCAGACCATATCTAATTTTTTGTCTGAGAACATTCTTCAACTGATTAATCAACAACTGAAAAGAATATGATTCATATTATGTTTCTTTTTTACTTTCTCACATTTCATAGGAACAGTACCTTCTGCTGTTCTAGTGAATTCTTGCAGAGAATACAATATTTCAAATATTTATTCGTCTATAGAATGTAAAACCATAACTTCTATCCCATCATGCTTCTATCAGTCTTCTATCCTTGCTTCTTTTGCTCCCATTTTCAACACCAGGATGGTATCAGCACTAGGCAGCAGACATTAGTTCTGATTGTTCAATCAACTTCTAATCTACCATTGTCATCTCATTCAAACATTTCTGATTATCATCGAACAACTTTCGTCATTATGTACAAAGCCTCAATGTTTCCAACAGTAGTCAAAGTGTACCTAGTTTGTTTATGACTTATGACCATAAACAAAAGAGAGTAATTTATCTATGCTTATGACATTTATGAGTTACGAGTCGAACCACATCGAACTTTTGAATTGAAGGGAGGAAGGTGAAGCCACATAAAGGGAAGGGGGATCAGATGTGATCAAGGGAAAAGAGCAAAATATATTCCGTCTCCCAATTGGTCACATGATAGTTGAAGACGGCTGTGGTCACATGAATCACATGATATGTAAACACGAACGTTGCACGCATGTGCGAGCTCATAGAAATTATACAAATACACTTGGCAACACAGCAGACCCAGAAAAAATTATCACATTTTTATATGCAGCACAGAAGGGACATAGGAGATATTTTTTTAAAATTATTTTTCACATTTTTATAACAGCACTGGAGGGACATGAAGAAATATAATTTTGTTTTTATCTCATTATAATGAGATAGCTAACTCATTATATTGAGATAAAAAAATATCTCCCTCATTTTTATGCTAAGAAAATGTAGGAGATATTTTTTTAAAAAATATCTCACCATGTCCCTTCAGAGCTTTCGTAGGTTGTAGCTCGTGTTCAAGGCAACTTTTATTCATATTTGATCGAAGATGTATGGCAGGCTAATTTCGGATATATGATTTGAAAATTGGCAACGTTATGCATAATATGTGGGTGTAACAATATTTTTGAATCGATTCCACTCGAAAATGATACACCTAATCGATACGGAACAGGAGGGCAGCATCCCACGATGCCCAATTCCAACGATGCCAATAACCTTCATGTCGTCGATTACGAAGACTGCCGAACAGCGCAATGTTGCCAGGTCAAGAGAAAAAATCAGAAAACAGAAGATTTCCACCATAGCCACTTTTCATAGATTCCCACGATGCCCAATTCTCATCATGCCCACTTTTCGTACATTCCCACGATGCTCAATTCCTACGATGCCCAATTCCCACCATGCCCAACTCCCTTGGATTCCTACTATGCCCACTTTCCATACACTTCTACGATGTCCAATTCCAATTTCCAATTCCAAGGTGGGCATGGTGGGAATTGGGCATCGTGAGAATGAATAAAGAAAGAGTGAGTATTGTGAGAATTTGGCATCGTGGGAATGTATGAAAAGTAGGCATGGTGGACATTCAAGGAAGGTGGGCATCGTGGGAATCTATGGAAAGTAGGCGTGGTGGGAATATTGTATTTTCTGAATTTTTCTCATAACCTGGCAACGTTGCGCTCTTCGGCAATCTTCGTAATCGTCGACATGGAGGTGGGCATGGTGGGCATTGGGCATCGCGCTACGCACTTACAACAGGAACACCTTTGTTCTGTTTAGACGGTGTGGATTTTCATAATCCGAGATTAAATTGTCGCGAACTATGCATACTGAAAAGTTTGATCAATATTTATTGTAGTTCCACCCTGTATTAAACACTGCTTGAATGAAATTTTGAAATGATATCATTTTCACTGCATTCGGCATGAAAAGTTCAGATGTTGTACTGGATTGAATCATTTTATCACATGGTGTTTCGGAAATATTCAGGACATATCATCTTCAGGAGCTCCATTTAAGAAAGCCGTAGCAAAACGTAAAAATGATAAAATGATCCGGAATACTCACTGCTTCTTTCTCGGCAATATTAACTTCCAGCAATTCATCAGCGAAATCTCTAATTACTTCCCAAGCATGATCTGAAATAAAAAATATTTGCTATGATTTCCAACTGAGCCAATCAATCATTATGCAAAAACATTTTATTTACATTTTGTAAAGACACACTTTGAACCAGGATGTGTGCTTCCTTGGGGAGGTATGCTTCAGTATTCCAGGCAGAGGTGCATGCTATTGAGGCATGCCTGAGAGAGAATATCGTAAGAGGATACAGAGGTAAACAAATCCTCATATGCTCAGATAGTCAGGCGGCCATTCAATCTCTAACATGCAATAAAATCAGATCAAAATTGGTCTGGGATTGCCTTCAAAGCCTGCTAACTCTGGCTAACCACAACAAGGTAACTCTTCAATGGGTGCCAGGGCATAAGGGAATTGAAGGCAATGAAGCAGCTGACGCTCTTGCCCGGCAAGGGTCTGCGACGTTGTTTATGGGGCCGGAACCTGTGTTCGGTATCCCCAAAATCTCAATACGCGGCTGGCTGGCAAGGTGGATGCAAGAAAGACATCAGGCATACTGGAACAATGTCCCAGGACAAAGACACAGTAAACTGATGGTTGGAACACTGTCCAAAACAGTGACTAACGACATTCTGAGCCTAAACAGAAGTCAGATCAAACAAGTGACGGGACTAATAACCGGTCACTGCCCCTTGAGGAAACATATGCATCAAATGGGCATCTATACAGACGAACCCATATGCAGACTATGCAATGAGGAGGAGGAAACTGCCACCCATGTAATACTGGAGTGCGAAGCACTAGCGCGTTGGAGATACAACCTTCTGGGAGCAGTAAACTCTCAAGAGGCATTTTCAAAGAATGATCTGGTGAAGAGGCTGCTAAACCTCATCAAGGTAGCGAACCTGTTCACCTAAGTCAACAGCATGATCAGGAATACAATAGGCCCAAAGGCTGCAGTGTTTTGGGCTTCAAACCCTGACTGATCATTCTGCTATTAATCAATCAATCAATCAATCAATCAAAGACACACTGAGTCATCTACACTTTGGACTTCTAGATAGATATAAAAAAATAGTGATTGAGCACTCTCCATGATTAGAAAAGCTGATTTCAATTAAGCAATAGTGCATTATACACCAAGGGAAGAAAGTAGTATTTTGAATCCCTAAAAAAAGTTCATACCCCAACCTATGACTCGACCAACCAGAGGGTTATAATATGTCAAGGAATTTGAACACTTTGGTTCTCAGGTGTCTATACCATTTTAAGCACTTTAGGAAAGGTGAAACATTGAAATAAAAATAACGAAAAAAAAAATTAAATGCCTGTTTAATATTGTTCTAAACACGTTTTGTGGCATCCATATGATGTTACATTTCTAATATAAGTTGAAAATAAATTCCCAAAATAAGCTTTCATAGCAAAGAAATTCACTTTAAATCAAAGGGTACTTCAAATCCCTTTAAATTCCTGAAGTGCATAAAAGGAAATATATCATTTCATTGCAAAGAAAACATAATTGGGTTTAGTTGGAATTGAAAAACTTTTCTATTGTAGTGATACCATTGAATTGTTTATTTTTAATTTAAAAAATTGGATGAAAAATGCCATAATTAAATCTGATCATGGCATGGTTGTTAGTTTATGTGTATTATTGAAATATCTGTTTCTTCATAATTGCTGCTGATCTGAGATTTAGATAGTCATTCTACCATGATAATTCAAAAATTATATATAGCCAGCGGCTTGGACATTTGATCCTCTAATTGAGCAAATAAAGCAATATAGGTGTGAAAATTCAAGTCCGATTTTAACATCAGGAAAGGCAGTTTATTCCCAAGAACAAAGTTCGTATTTGTCTCAATGTTTGTATTTGTGACGTAATCGTTAATTATACAAATTCAAAATTGTTCATTCGGTTATACAAATATACACAGGATATTGTTCGGTAATAACCCAACAATAATCTGATAATAGATATTAATCTCCTAGATACCGCGTAGAGAGAGAGATGAATTGACGACAACATGAGAGTGAGACATAAAGAGCAAGGAAATCAGCTGATTCAATCTATGGTACAACAACCGTCCACCAATTGGTGGACGATGGTACAACCGTTGATTGATATATCACGCTTAATAAATACTGTCTGTAGGTTGATCGAGGAAGTGGTACATTCATTATTCCAGATTTTTTGGGATTATCTCTCCTCGTTTCTATAAAATAAAAATATGAATATTATTTCATTAAGGATCCTGAAATTTGCTGGAGCGAGAGATATACCAAAAATGCACTCTATGACCAAGTGGGGTCATCTTCAGTGATATACACTGCTCGCCAACAGCCATGAAACCACCCCAATTTCCGGAAAATGATATTAGGAGTCAAAATAGGTTGAAAATCACGTCGGATTCGGAATCAGGACGCCCAAGTTACTGACTATTCAGAGTTTTCCTAGAAGATTTTCAGTTCAGTAAAATTAAAATTTGTCTCACTTCTCATGGAAGCACCCCCGTATCTCACGTAATTATTGAGGTAGGGTTCTGAAATTTTCCGGAGGAAGAGAAAGTCCAAAGATGAAGTCAATTACGTGAGATATGGGGGTGCTTCCATGAAAAATGCGACAAAATTTCATTTTTCCGAACTGAAAATTTTCCAGGAAAAATTTGAATAGTTAGTAAATTGGGCGTCCTGATTCCAAATCTGAAGTGATTTTCGACCTATTTTGACTCCTAATATCATTTTCCGGAAATTGGGGTAGTTTCATGGCTGTTGGCAAGCAGTGTATATGGGTCACACTGTATATATATATGTCTTTTCCGCACGCAAAAACTTATTCGAACTGCTCCGCGTCGTTCGCCTAACTGTATTTGCATGCAGAAAAGTAACACTTTGCGCACTCGTTAGGAAAATAACTATTTAATGAATAATTATTGACAGTTCTTATACAATTAATGAGTTTCTATTTATATATATATCAAAAACAACGTATATCAAAGCATTCTAATAATTGCTCATAACTTCAGATTGATTATATTATACAGTAAGATGCTTCAATTCAATCTTCAATACTTTGTTCCTTACCTACATCAGCTTCTTCGGCATTTGCGGCCACCACGCAAAATCTAATGACGTATTTATCGTTGACGTTAGAAGGTACCATGTGCAGCTTTCCGGATGCGTTGATGTTGCTCAGCAACTTTTCATTAAGCTTGTCGGATCCCTTGAGTCGAAAGCACACCAAAGCCAACTGTAACAATAATGAAGCTAAATTGAATTTGTTGAGTTACGTAAACCAAATCAGACGGATGTTCTAGAATGTTCGATAATACTTCAGAGTATTCCTGGATGTTTCAGACTGCTATGGGAATAATATAGAATGTTCAAGAATTATGAAGAAAGTTGTAGAATGTCTCGAAATATTAATGATTATTCTATAATGTACCAGAATGCTAAAGAGTTTTCCAGAATGTTCGAGAGCGTTCAATAACGTTTTAGTATGTTCCAGAATCTTCTAGAATCCTACAAAATTTTCAAGACTGTTCAAGCATGCTTCAGAAAATTCCTGAATGTTCAAGGACTTTCCAAGATATTCCAGAGTCTTTGAGAATGAACTGTAATGTTCTAGAATGCCATATAGGATCTTTCAGAAGGTAAGAGGAAATTTGATAATATTTTAGAATATTTTAAAATATTTCATAATGTTGAAGAATCTTTCAGAATCTTCAAGATCCTACCATGATGTACTAGAATGGTATAGGGTTTTTCGGAATAACTAAAAATATTCTTGAATTTTTTAAAATGTCCTAGAATCGTCCAAGGGTGTTTTAGGATGTTCCTGAATATCTCAGAATATTTCTGGATGCTTCAGGATACTCCAAGATGTTCCAGGGTGTCTGAAAATGTTCTGGAATAATTCAAAATACAATAGGATCTTTTAGAAGCTTTTATAAAGTCTAGAATATTTCATAAATGTTCGACAATGTTGAAGAACTCGTTCAAATTCCTCAGAGTGTTACATCATCCTACAGAATATCGATTACCTTTCGATGCATCAAGTTATCGCACAGGATACTGGAAGGGAAGGGACCAACCTTGACCAGTTGCAGATTTCGAACCGTCTGTCCTTGAAGACCAACGTCTCGAGGAGATGCCGTAGCTGCGCAGCTCGAACCACAGCTTCAGCGACCGGAAGCGTCTGCTGCCCAGTGGCGATAGTAGTTGTTTCTGATAGTTTTTATTGAATATATATTCATATATATATCCTTTGATGAAATATCTTGAATTGTTTCAGGATTGTTTAGCTCATTTCAGAGTGTTCTGAAATACGAGAATATCCCAGGATGCTGTAGGACCTTCCAGAAGTTCCGAGAATGCTCAAGAACGTTCTAGAATAATCTAGAATGTTCTAAATATCCAAGAATTATTGTAGAATGTCTCGAAATGTTGAACATTAATGTGTAATGTACCAGAATATGCTATGGAACCTTCCAGGATATTCGAGAGTGTCCTTGAATGTTTCAAATTATTCCAGGATCATTTACAATCTTCCAAAATGTTCTAGAATGTTCGATAATGCTTCAGCATATTCTTGGATATTGGCGAATTTCTCAGAATATCCCAACAATGTTCTGAAATACTCCATAATGCTATAAGATCTTCCAGGAAGTTAGAGAAAGTTTGAGAACATTCTGAAATATGCTGAAATGTTGAAGATTCATGAGGAATATTTCAGAATGTTGAAGGTAATTCTATAATGTACTAGAACGCTATAGAATTTTCCAGAATTTTCAAGAGTGTTATTGAATGTTTCCGAATGTTCCAGAGAATATAACAAAACGTTCAAGAATGTTCTAGATATTCTAAAATATCAAAAAACATTTTAAAATATCTCAGAATGCTGAATATTCTTCTATAATGTATCAAAGTTTTATAGAACCTCCCATGATGCTCAAGAGTGTTCTTGAATGTTTCAGAGTCTTCCAGAACTTTCTAAAATTTATTGAAACGTTCATTTTCCAGAATGAATCAGAATTAATATGGATTTATCACAATTTCACAAGATATTCCAAGATGTTACAGGACCTATGACAATGTTCCAGAACGCTATAGATAATCTTCTAGAAGGTTAGCGAGTGTTACAGAATATTATAAAAAAATTTGTGATGTTCGAAAGAGTTGAAGAATGCGTCAAAGTGTCTCAGAATGTAATATATCATCTTTCAAAGTATCGATACTGGAAGGGAATGGAACCAACCTTGACTTCGTTGCAGATTTCGAACCGCCTGTCCTTCAGAACCAGACCCTCGAACTTCTTGGCCAGCCTGATGTGGTTCCGGATGTACTTCTGCAGCCCGGATATCCCGTAGCTGCGCAGCACGAACCACAGTTTCAGCGACCTGAAGCGCCTGCTTAGGGGAACCCCCCAATGGCGGTAGTCGATGGTGGCGTCTGAGTAGCCGTGCTGGAGGTAAAGCGGGTCTACCACCAGGGCGGAGGTAAGACGGATACGGTCGCGTACCTGAAATGGAGTGAAAAACCATACAGGGGGACATTGAAATAGATTCAAATATTTCAAACCCTGAGGAAGTTCGACATACTATACTATCGAATGACAACATTAAAGAAATATATAGGAATTTGGGGTGCGACCCAGCTTTTACTTCTCAAAGTTCTACGCTGTGGCGATTCAATTCAATCATTTAAATTGTTTAATAGTGGCGTACTTGATTGTTTCACGATTTTTGTTCAATTTTCTGGATGAAATTTATCATTAATTCAAAGAATTAGGAGAAATTTTTGGAATATCCAGAAGATTATATAATCTTATATAATATCGATGTGCTGAATATAAATGCACCTATTTCAAAAACATATCGTATTTTCGTGAATATCAATGAGCTGCTAAACTACAAATGGAATTCCAGTTCCTGTTCCAGAAGAATTTGAATTGACCAAACTACTTGACTGTTTTTTTTTAAATAATTTCACTATATGTATTCACAATCACATCCTATTGAATAGTAATATTCTTTTTAAAAATAAATAAATCGATAAAATGACCAATGTTTTGATAAAACATTAGCGTAAGTCGCTTTTTTCTTCATCATCACTTTTTTTGACATGGATTCGATGGTGGAAGAATCTTCGTTCGAACTTTCCTTGGAAGTGCTCCATCTAAATTTGACCTTATTCTGTTTCTTGTTTCAGAATCGTTGCTATCGATCGCACTGTTGCTTCTCTGATCTTCGTTCCGCGTCCTTGCAACCTTCTGCTCGTAGAAGAGGATGTATGCTTCTCCATTCACAATAGATTTAGATGATTTCTGTGAAACAATCGAGTCATTGTACTCGTGCCATAAGTTTGTGATTGGGTGTTTACAGTATGCTGTGTAGTGTCCAGACAAAGTTGTTCCACTGTGATTAGATACAGCATAAAGATTATATCTACAAGGGATTTCATTATTCGTTGTATAATTACCCATATCCAAATCTTCTAGAGGAAAATCAATGGTGGTGTTTATTTTCCCATGAAAATTCTCCGATGGCGAGAAACGTTTTAAATGAATCACTAGAATATTAGGGAATTTATGTATCAACAAAGACTTCGTGAAATTCCTTCTTTCCTTACATTTTGAACATGTTGGTGACTCGTCACCGTTCAAGATTTCCTCTCTGGTGAAAAGGTCTAAGCATTGTGAAAGTCTTAGTTGGCCCGTTGTGTTTGGAATCGGTAATGATAGATCCCAGAAAGGTTCAAAACTTACAGAGCAATGTCCACAATAAGAACAACTCAAAGTTGATTTCAATTGACCAACAAAGTTGTCTACAATAATCGAGTTTTCTATTCTCAAATATCTGGACCATGACTCTTGGGCTTTCTCATGATCACTAAGTTTCTCATCTATTTCTGTGAAGATTAGCTCAGACCTTTCTGTTATCCTTTTCACATCTTCATGGAGGCCTTCGAGAAGATATCTGAGAAATTCTTGGGCGTCCTGTTCAGCGTAATCCATGAAACGTGGAGCAAATCTTTGAACTGATTTTTCAAAGAAAGGATATTCACCACAGTATCAGTTGAATCTTCCAACCATAGTCCGTTAATCACTTCAACAAATGCCTTCATTATCAATGCAGGATCATTCAACTCGACCATATATTACTCTTCCCTAAGAAATTCCAAAATCCATTTAGTGTTTGACAAACATTGTATTATGCTATTCATGACTGTTGTCCTGTTCTGCTAATTTTGATTGAATGTCGATAGAACAAATCTTCAAATGAGGGTTGCTTGGCTGTGTGCACGTGTATATATAGCAAAGAAGGGAAGTGTTGTTAACCTGACGAGTATGCACTGATGATGACTTAACAGTCGAAAGCGCTCTGCTACGAGTATCAAATTTGAATAAATTATCTTGCACGAAATACAACACTCCCCTTCTTTGGTGAATCTTTGAATGTTCTTGTAGGTGGATATGTCTTTTGAGACAAAATGTTCCAGGATGTTTCAGTTCAGCTTGCTCCAGAGTGTTCGAATTTGTACTAGAAAGGATCAGAATACGATAGGATGTTCCAGGAGTTTGAAGAAAGTTGAAGAACATTCTAGCAGGCCCAAATCACCTTCGAAGAGCGTTAATGAGCAGTGCAAATTTGAAAATTTCCGAAAGATTTTCCATAGATATATAAAAAACTCGTGGCGAAGTCGGCGAAGTCGACTCTGAAATAATGCTCTACTAGGGGCGAGTCGAGTTGAACTATAATGTTTTAGTGTTAAAAAAAAATCTGTTATCAAAGACGGTAAGAATATTCGTTTAAAATAAAAGAAAATCATATTGTGAAAATAAACAAACTAGAAATACAGTGACCATGCCTTTCTGATATATATGAGTATGCACAGTTTTTATACCACAGTCATTTTTAGAGAGATTCCTCTCATCGGCTCACGACTTGTGGAAATGGCGAACCTCAGCTACCATAGCCGGATAGTCATCAATCTTCAACTGGTCTTGGATGGTAGCCTCTTCACTCTTCAATTTCCAATATTTTCTATCGACCTCTCTTGGTCAATTCTCCATTCGTCCTTCTCACCCAAAGCCCAACCTTACCATGGTGTGGGAAGAACAAGCCGTGGCTAGTCGGTAGATAGAGCATTTTGTGGACATCTTTGTTCGAATCACTCAGATGGGACACTTTTGTGGATATCGGAGCAATTTGTGATAATCTGCTTATTTGGCCACGGATTGATGAACGATACTCTGGCCACCTAAATTGCGTGGTGAGAATCTGTGACGAGGGATGAATGACACCTATGTTATATAATAATAATAATAATAATATTTATTTGCACTAAACAAAAAAAAACATGTTCACTACAACTTTGAATACATTGATGCAAAATGGAGCTGAAAACAATTTGGAAAAGTTCTAGTTCAGCCCCAGAGTAAGAAAAACAATTATAATCTGAACTGTTCATCAAGTTGATAACGGATTGAAAGATAAAAAAACACTGCTTTGATGCTCGTGAGAAGAGTTATATATATGTAGCCAAAAGACTTTCTCTGACTTTCGTTTTGAATGTCAATGACTTCATTTACTTGAGTGGAGGTTGTAATTCATTAAACATTTTGTAAATATTGTAAGAGAAGCTTCTTTGAAATAAGGTGGTTCTATGAGGTGGAAGAGTGATGCGGAAATTTAGATTGTGAACATCAGTTCTATATGTTATTTTATCATACAGATATGGAGGACTCTTTTTATGAATTATAGAGTGTGACAGAACTAGGAAGTGAAGTTTCCGCCGATCTTGCATTTTCAACCACTACGAGGGTTTCAGCATGTGCGATACTGGATCATACTTGCGGATGCCATAGATGAATCTGAGACAGGATTTCTGTACTTTCTCCACACTATTTATGTCACTTTTGTCCAGACAAGGTCCATATAATACATCGCAAAAGTTGAAATAACTTAGAACCAGCGTATCACTTAACATCCTTTTGGTTGTAGTTGATAGCAAGTGTCTATGAGGATAGAGCATTTTCAGGGAACAATATGCTTTTTGAATACAATAACTAATATGCTTTTTGAAACGAAGATCTACATCCAGATACAAACCCAAATTTTTTACATTTTCAACAAAGGACAATTCTTCACCTTGAACTTGTATTTTCATAACAGATTCGATGTATTGTTTGTTTTTACCAAAAATCCCCTTACTCGAAGGAGAATTAATACTTTCGGCCTTCTCCATGGACGAGATCAGTGCTCGGAAGAGAAGTCTTCAGGAACCTGAATGAAAACGGTCTTTCAAACGAATCTCTGGTACTGTGAGAGGCAGTGCTTACCAATGGCGCACAACATCCTAGGGACGTCCCTATTTGGTATAATTCAAGTCCGAATGTGCCAGACCTGAAATAATTGTTCTTGGGACGTTCCATCTCGTACATATCATGCAATGTTCGAGCAAGGACATCCATGGAATATACCAGCTGGTACATAATTTCAAATGTCCTAGAAATTGAATCCTTTAGACGTCCCACGTGGTACATATTATAGAATATCCATGCAAGGACGTCCTTAGCAGGTCCCTGATGGGATATACTTCTGAATGTTCTTCTAGGAACATCCATCGGATATCCCAAGTAGTACATATTCTGGCATAACTTCAGATCTTATATAGAGAATAACAATGGAATATCCCAGATGATAAATTTCTTCAAATATCTCTGCCAGGATGCCTTCAACATTTCCAGGATCGTATAACATTCGAAATTCCCAATTGGTACATGAACTGTTATCACTTCGGAAGAAACTGTGTCATAATGTACACCCATCAGTGGTATAGATTGGCATCAGGACTTCAGATAGACATCCTATATAAATGTCCTTCACGCAAGCGAATGATCATTTCTACTTCCAATGTCCTATAATAACGTCCTATACGGACGTCTCAATCGGTAAGTTTGATATGTTGCTCCTGCGAGGAACACCTCGCCAACTCGTAGGCTATATAAATACTCCTCGTCAATTTCTCTTTCTAAAATCCATTGGGCATTCTTGGGATGCTACTTCTTTGATAGGAACTCTTGGGAACCTTCTATTGGGAACCTTCTACGGACCATCAGCTCAACTAGATGTCCTCATCAATTATACAAGATCTGGTCCTAGGAAGACCAAGTAAATTCAAATTCAAGAATTATTCGTACGTCCCTTGGACATCCTATGGACATCTAATTGATATCCCTCAGCATTGCTGATAGGTTGTCCTACGGATGTCCTCTGTAGTGCTTGATGAGAAATACTGTATGATTGAATACATTTTTCATTGTTTTATTCCATACCAGAATAAGCTGCATGTTTTTAATTGGTACATCCTTAGTGAAAGGTAATACCAACATTTGAGGGTTTCTGCAAATCCTATTTTCTTATTCATTTGGTACTTTTGTCGATTAAAGTGGGGCTGAGATTTGGATTCAATAACTATGTACTCACCCAATATGTGGAGCAATCAAAATTGGTCAGGAGCCACTTATTCGGATTGGTATTGAACGAATCCGCGTATTCTATCCCGGACAGCAAGTACTTCAGCTCCGGACAAATGAAAGCGTTCCCCGCATAAGCGCCATCTACGTGAAGCCAGACGCAAGGAAACTTGTTGCAGACTTGGCCTATCTCCGTCAGATTGTCGAAAGAACAACAGGAAGTTGTGCCCAGAGTGGTGGAGACGAAAAATGGGATGAGGCCCATCGTTTCATCCTCCTCCATTGCCTGGAAAGTAATGATAATATTATTAATAATGATAAACTTGATTCAGTTCAATAGAAATATAACATACTGAAATGGCGGAGTTCATCGCTTGCTGATAGCAAGGTGATGATCTTCCACTCAACCAGGCTTTAATCTAGTCTTAGTATCTAACAAAAAAGTCTCATGGCATGATCAATTCATGATATAGAATGGAAAAGAAAAAGGAAATTGAATACAGAGAAGAAGAAAAATATATGTTATAAGTTAAGCCAATTGAAAGAGAGTTTTGAAATATTAACCAATTAGAAATATCAACAGGTAGGTATCGAAGTGGTCCAATTATCTGCTTTTGCTTTCAGGACTGAAGATATAACAAGATGAATACAAGATAATAAGTTGAAGTCAGTCTCATTGAAGAGTCAGATAAAGTTAACTGCAGACTTTATAAAAAGTAGAGATAGACCTGTCTTTGACAGAGTTCGGTATGGAGTTGTATATACCAGAAACGTTATATGAAAAACTTCTCTCAAATGAATCAAACATGCTCGATCTGTGAAGAGGTGGAGATATAATACCCTTTGATCGTATGTTCAGGTTGTGAACATCCGATCAAAATTTGATTTTCTTAAATAGATAACTTGGCTGTTTCGATAATATGATTTTATGGTACAGTGTGGCTCAGTGAAGCTAACGAAGAGATTTCATATTTAGCTAACCAGCTTCAGTAAGCTTAGGACGAATGGGTTGCCTCTTTCTTATACTGAAGATGGAATGCAAACAGTGATTCTGTATTTTTTGGATCCTTTGAGCATCAACTGCCGTGAGACATGGACCGTAAACAGTGTCACAATGGTTAAACGTTGACAAAACTAGCGAGTTACAGAGGACAGTTCTTAGATGTATGTTCAATAAGGAACGTGAGTTATATATAGGAGTTTCAGTTTCCAGATTGACTTCTTTAAACATTCAGAGACATGTTTATGAAATCGTAGGGAGGAATCTGTCCATACTCCAAGATTTTTTGCTGAGTCAGAAAAACTTAAAGGGACATTGTTGATGGATAACTGAATATCTTTCTTCAATATTTCCCGAGCCTTGTCATTCGGAATAGTACAGCAGTTGATTTGTTGGGATTTAGAGCCAATAAGATCATTCTACTACTATTCAATATATCAGAAGGATGAAAAGAGTAAAGATCCTGTGTGTCATCGGCATACATTTGTAAATGGCAATAATTAACAAGAGTGTGAACGAGAGCAGTGTAGATGATATACAGAATGGGACCAAGTATAGAGCCCTGAGGAACACCACAAAGTTAATGACCTCAGGTCTGATGAGCTGCCTTCTGAAATGACTCGCTGTTGCCTGTCACTCAGGTGATTTGTAAAGAAGAATATACATATAGAGAGTCATCTCTATGAATTCATAGTCATAGTCAGAGCCGATGATCTAATAATATCGACATATCCTGGGGACATTCCCGCATATATGGATGCAAGTAACCAAACCAGAACCCTTTAGGCTGAAGGACCTTGATTGAGGTTGAGGACCTCGATTGAAGGCGAGGACGTGGGCCAGTTGGTATATACATATGGACACATTCACAAGTGTTTAGTTTGTATTTTACTAACAACGAACGTTTCCATTATGTTGATCAGAAGTCCTATGACTTTACTATGACTATTGATTATGCTGCTCTTATTAGTGATGTTCTTTCGTTCTGAAGTAACTGGAATATTTCACTAGAACTGAACTGAACCAATTATTATTCATTCAATCAAATTGTAGTCTTTCGAAAGAACGCAAGTTAACTGATTCAGTTCAGTTCTAGTGAAATATTTAAGTTATTTCAGAGTGAAAGAATATCACTATTCTCAATACCAACCAAATCTGAAGAATGAACAATCTTTTAATGTTGTGGGAAATCGTTAAAAGCATTGGGAATATTTGAAGGTTGAAATAATGTAGGATTAGTATTATGGAGATCAAATTAGAAACACAAATACTATGGCATTCGAAGACGGCATAGGATTTCCCGCAAACTTCATGAAATTGGCTTGCTGAATATGAATAATAGACGAATATATCATGCTGTTTCCCTCTTATAATTAAATGAAATTATTACAAAGAAATTACAAACTTCTATAGAGAAATTATCGTACAAACGTGCATAACTTGAACATCAGAAATAAGGGGTTATTGACCATACCGCCTTTCGGATCTTTCAGCTATACAATCCACTCGCTATGATGCAATCCGGTACTGAACGTTATAAAAACTCGAACAGTTCCTAACTTCAAAATTTTTCACAAAAAACATCTTTTAGGCCAGTATAATAGAAACCTGTAATGAATACTGTTGATATATAGGTCCTCTCTTTGTTTTTTCATGACGGGAAAAAAGTTTGAAATTTCATCTCTGCTGACAGGTTATAAAATGTCACTTTTCATGAATTACTTTTTTCGAACGGAAAAAAAGTGAGTACTTTTTTCCCGAATATATATCACATATATATGTATACACTGTTGATGGCTTTTTTGTGCTATAGTTCCGAAAAATAAGCCAATGAAAGAACTGCAAGTCCTCTTATCTTCCATTCGACTTCGCGGTTACGTAAATTACTAAACAATCACTAAATTCGCAATTTTTGAAAATTTTATCACAGAATTTGACTGAAGATATTTGATTTGATTGCAAAAAGATGCCTTCAATGCAGGTGACATTCCTGTTAAAAAATTCAAATTTCACGTCGATAATTTTTCGATTTTGATATAATGTGATATCTTATTCTCCATATTGATTCGTCCTTTCTCCTATCACAGAAAAAAATAATATAACATACACGGGAAAAATATTAGATTTTAGCTCACAACCTGAAGTTAGAATCTACCACTTATTTCCCTTGTATAATGAGTAAGTATTGTTATGCTTGCATATCAAAAAATAAACTTCGCCCTTTATTTCCGAACAAAATTATACAAGGTGTTTCTGAAAGAAGTACATATAATCAGCACATCAATATGATACAGTCTAACGAATATTCCCATGATATCAGATTTTTCCTAATCCTTCTAATTAACAAGAAATTTCATCCCGAAAAGAGAACAAAAAACGAGAAAAAAATTAGGTACGCCACTTTAAAACAATTTAAATGATTGAAATCCGCGTGATTGTGCCTTCCGCACGAAAATTTGAACAGAGGTGACGTCAGAATGGCTACAGTGTGAAACTTTGGATGGAAAAAGGGGTCTAACCTCAAATTTCATTTTGATCCCTATATTTTTCGTATTGGTACCACTCGATACGTTGAGCTTACTCATGTCATGAAATAATTGCACTTATTTTAATGCCACCCTGTATATGTGACATGACAGAGGCTGCATATAAGATTTTCTTAGTGAACTATACTTTGCAACTCTTTATGAAGATGAATGCATTCTTCATTAGATGATATATTCTTCAATGTGCAGGATATATTGAAGGATGTTACCAAACAAATAAAAAATATTCTTCAATCTTTATTAAATGAAGAAATTGTTACTTTTCAAAAATATACCACTAAACTGCATTTAATATACGAATTCAGCGTTGTTGTAGTTGTTGCCATAATATCCTGCGTTTTTGTAAGGAACACCATGGTATTGCTGAGCCTTCAGGTTCCACCAGTATGACAATGGGTAGGAATGATGCTGTTCTACTGGGTACACCTGATGTTGGTTCCAGAATTGTTGGTAAGCTGGGATAACTTCTTTATTGTATTGGTTCACTCCATGGGCACTAAAATACGAGATTTTTCAATAGTATGAATAAAGAATAATTGATTATTGTCATGGTAAACATCTCTTGAGCTATTTTTTGGTGCATTAGTGGTTGAAGAATATGTAAGATAGTATGGGTCATGTGTTATGTGACCAAATAAAACTACTTCATAAAATCGTAACAAAATCTAGTTACGATAAGTCTAAGAACTGTTCGTGTTTCATATTGTGGTTATCAAACGAAAAAAATCTATTTGAGTAAATCTTACTTTACTGCAGCTTCTTGAGAAATTCTGGATAGTTATTCGAATCCCACTATAGAAAAATGCATATAGTTCTCAGATTTCTTACAGGATGTATACAGATTTCCAGATTGAGTACCAGTCAACTATAAATTGATGTTTACCTATGAGATTTCACTCAAATGATACCTCAATTTGCAATACCAATTCGTGATTCAATTTTGAAATATGGCGAGCCAAATCACTCCCTGTATACAGGGTGAGTTATTGAAATGGAGAAGTGAGATAATGGCTCCGCCGTTTGAGATAGATGGATGAAAATTGTTGTGATGGTCTAGGCTCATGAGAAGCATATTTCCAAATAACTTTGTCTATACAGGGTGACTCAAATGTGCGTGGCGTATCAAAGTTATACTTTTTATTATAGGACACCCTGTATTTTATTGCATTTCCGGATTATCCTTTGTGAGCTGATTCCATCAATACATCACACTCGGGATCTAGTGGAAATGATTACAGAGATATAGGGTGTTAAAAATCGAGATTTTTCAACTTCAGGATTTTTTTGTGTCAAAACTATCAATTATTGGTTGGAGCGGTTCACATGTCCCCATCTCAACTTTTGATTCACTATCTACTGATATTCAATTTGGACGAATACAGGGTATTTCAAAATTTAGAATTATGAATAGTTTCGGCACAAAAAAATCCTAAAGTTGAAAATTCTCGATTTTGCACACCCTATATCTCTGTAATCATTCTTGCTAGACCGCAAGTGTGATGCATTGATGAAATCAGTTCACCAAAGAGAATCCGAAAATGCGATGAAGAACAGGGTGTTCCGTAAATAAATGATTACTTTGATACGTCACGCAGTTTTGAGTCACCCAGTATAACGCGAAATATCTTGAAAATGTGCTGTTCATGAGCCAGGACTATCAGAAAGATTTTGCTCATCTATCTCAAACAGCGAAGCCGTTATCTCACTTTCCCATGCCAATGACTCACCCTGTATGTGTATGTATGTATGTAGAGCTAGGATGAAGATAATTCAGTTTTTATAATTTATGCAATAATTACTCCGTCATTCTTCAAACGATATCAAAGAATGAAAGAAACCAATATTTTTTTCAAAATGTAATGATATTATACTGCCTCATTATTGGATTCACCATTTTTTTTCAATTCGTCTATGTATCACAGGGTGATATTCGGGTAACTCTATTCGAATGAATTCGAACCAGTGCTGAAATCATCAGGTTGGCCATGAAAAACCAAAAATCTGTTTGTAACGAAACAAAAAAATTACCATTCCATTGAAAAAAATGTATGATATGTTGATATCGAACAAGAATTACCATTTGCACCAGTTCATATTTTACATAATTATTTTTTATAAAAAACTCACCCTGAACCATAATAGTTGTGACCTTGCTCAGATTGCCTCTGGTATTTTCCAAGTACCGATTTCAAATTGTCCAACCAGTTCAAGCCAGACCAGTTCTGGACGCCATTAGAGCCATATACGTTCTTGCCATATTTGTGACCCTCGTATTCTGGTCCATACACGTTCTTGCCGTAGTTTTGACCCTCGTAGTCTGATCCATACACGTTCTTGCCGTAGTATTGACCCTCGTAGTCTGGTCCATAGACGTTCTTGCCGTAGTATTCACCCTCGTAGTCTGGTCCATAGACGTTCTTGCCGTATTTCTGGCTCTCGTAGTCTAATCCATACACGTTCTTACCGTAGTTTTGACCCTCGTAGTCTGAACCATACACATTCGAGTCATAGCTCTGGCCTTCATAGTATGGTCCATAGACGTTCTTACCATAGTATTTACTCTCGTAGTCTGGTCCATAAAAGTTTTTGCCGTAACTCTGGCCTTCGTAGTATGGTCCATAGGCGTGCTTGCCGTAGTATTTACCCTCGTAGTCAGGCCCATAAAAGTTTTTGGCGTAGCTATGATAATCGTGGTATGGTGCATAGGCGTGCTTTCCGTAGTATTCACCCTCGTAGTCTGGTCCATAGAAGTTTTTGCCGTAGCTCTGGCCATGGTAGTATGGTCCATAAATGTTCTTGCCGTAGTATTGGCTCAAACCATATACATTTTTGTCGTAGCCATGACTGTATGAAGAGGCACAGGCTAAAGCCACGAGGGACAAAAGGAAGAAGATGCACTTCATCTTGGCTTGTGACTGCAAGTTAATGTGTGCTCTGTCTCTTGGACCGCTGTGTTTTATTCAATTTCTTATCGTTGTTTTTCTGCAGAAAATTTTGATAATGTCGCACTCATGCGATTAAATGTTGATTAGAAGAATATCTTCACCTACCTAATTGATTACAAGTGGCCTATCAAAGGTTGGAGTGACATTGCATAAGAAATTAGTTTTTTTCTTTAGGTCAGAGTTCACTTATTGTTGAGAGATTTGATGTTAAAAATAATTTGAACACACACATTAACATCATCAGATTAGTGAAGCAAACTATATTGAAAATTAGATGCATATGAATGCCTAGAAATATTTAAGAATAGCAATAGAGTTATGAATACCGATAATAGACCTAGGTCTTCACTGCTGGTTTTTGTTTGGAGGAGGACACCGTTCGATAGGAAGGCGCTGAAGGGCTACCTCCACTATTTTTTTCCAATTCCGACTTCATTTTCGGGATCCTGACTTTAAAGTCGCGGGTCTGACTTCATTTTCAAAATCCCGACTTCAATATCGAAATCCCGAGTTTAATCTCGTGATCCCGACTTCAATCTCGGGATCCCTACTTTAAATTCGGACTCCCGATTTTATTCTCGGGATTCCGACTTTAAAGGTGGGGGTCTCACCTGTACAGGATGTCTCTACATATTTTGATCCCTACCTACAGCTTCAACTATACGAAGTGGAGAAAACTTCAAATATAAAAGTTGTGGGGTTTCATCTGTACAATCTTTCTGCACCCTTTGGTGGTATAATGGAACATTCATTACAGAACTTTTGTGTATTTACATTCAATGTACAATAATCGACCGATAATCCGAACGTTACTTATTATACGTACCTATCTATATATATTTGAACAATAATTTTACATCCATTAAATAATAATCACAGGATCAATCGAAAAACTCCTTCACGTTTTTGGATGTCCACTGAATGTCAAATACTGAATCACACATGTACGATCATTATCGTACGTACAACAAGGTGATTGTTTATATTTTACTCAATAGCTAAGAGTCTCGTTGTTGAATAGATACAAAAAGAATTGAGAGAATCGGAGTTGTTCATAGTCATATAGAACTTTTTCTAGGTATAATGTCTATATGCCTTTGATATACCAAACATAGATTTTCACACCCGTTTCAGACGTTTTCCAAAATCTTTCTTCAATAAATACCCAAATTCCAAAGCCTTATAGAAACGTCATGGAAACCATCCATCCTTCTCAAAGTGGTCCAGATTTTTTCAAAGAAAAAACAAAATACACCAAGTCGGTCGACCACAAAATTATATTACACAATTACTAGTGTGACTAGTTTCGGCTGAACAGCCATCTTCAGACACAAATTGAATAAAGTACCTGTAAGAGATGAAATTACAGACGAACAATAAGTTTGCTGAGGAAAAAACATACCTACGCCATGTGGTGATTACAAATTCAACAAATAAAAATCAAGCGGTTATTTCAACGTAAATAATCAGTCCGGTAAGGGGGTGATTAGATTTTTATAACGGCTGAACAGCCAAAAGAACCTTATAATCATGGGGTTCAATATTGGCACGAAAAAAATTAGATATTTAGATTCACTCAAGCGAGTTTCATCTTGGATGGCTAATGAAAGACAGAAATCCAGGAATCGCCGAAGTAAGCAAATGACAGTGACAGCATGACAAGATTGAATGACAGTGACAAATTATACAAACTAAATGACATAACAAAATCATCGTGAGGTACAGAAAACTATTTGGCAAAATAAACAAATTATTGGAAAGGAAACTATGGGTTAATTACCTAATCTCCTAGTAACAAAACTATGAGAAGTACGTGGTAAGGTTGAAGACCCAAAAAGAAGAAGAAGAAATGTCAAGTGTAGTAAAAGTAATAACAGCAGAAGAAGAATTTGTAATTTCATCTCTTACAGGTAATTTATTCAATTTGTGTCTGAAGATGGCTGTTTAGCCGAAACTAGTCACACTAGTAATTGTGTAATATAATTTTGTGGTCGACCGACTTGGTGTATTTTGTTTTTTCCTTATAGAAACGTTGAGAATCAAGTTGCCGATGCGCAGTTTTCATCTTGAATAAACAGATTCTATGGTATATTCATATTTTGTCGATATCAAAAAAATTTGAAATAACCGAAATTTATGATGTATTTTGCTAACCGATCATTTTCTCGAAATTTTCAAATGGAACACCCTGTATTTCATTTTATCCTTGGATAGAGCTGAGAAAGATGCATTCAATGATATATGATAACATGGGTCTGAGAACACCTGTTTCGGACTTATCCATGAACTTCTTCAAGAAGTAATCAAATTTCAAAACTCTCTAAAACCGCTGTGGAATGAGTAAAAATTGAAAAAAACATGATAGAGTTATGAATAATTATAGTGATTTAGGATTAGGATCGACATGTGAACCAGGACAGACATTGACTGCGCAGTTAGTGCACCTTTCACGTACCTAACCTAGGGTCTTCCACTTCAATGTCGGGATTCGACTTCATTGTCGGGATCCGGAGATCAGAGTCGGGGGTCCGACTTTAAAGTCGGGATCCCGAGATTAAAGTCAGGGGTCCCACTTTAAAGTCGGAATCCCGAGAATAAAGTCGGGCCTTCAGCGGCTTCGTAGTTTGACGTCGACGCAGAGAAAATAATCTCCTCTGCATAGAGCTGGCCTCTATAATTTGGATCCGGAATAAGGTTCATGTTATACATCAATGCAAAGGTAATTCAATTCTGACATCACTTGCAGTGCAAAGCATTCTGAATTGCAACAAGCCGTTCTCGATATATTCGAGCTAAAATGGTATATTTTTAAATCTCTGTTGAATTAATGCACGGAATGGATAATTGAAATCGAATAAGTATTGAGAAAAACAGAAATTCAACATGTCCTTCATTGACCCCAGAGAGTGCTAGAGATTATTGCATATTTGAAGATGTTTCGTTTATTGTTTCCTGACATTCAATCCTTATTCTGGTCATTATATTGGTCTACGACCTATCAATTTGTTTGAGGAATTTTAGCCTAGCCATTCTCTAACATACCTCGATGATGATGTTAATCCAAGTCTATTGACAGATGATATTTAATCTCAACAAGATATTGCGTCACCTCACTTCATATTTTAGGTGAGAGAATGGCAATCTCAAAATTTTCCAAATAAATAGATGGCCACCACGCTGGCCGGACTTGGCACTCAATGATTTTCTCAGGGGTCATTCGAAATCCGTAATTCATGAAAGAAGGAGTAAATGTCCTATTATAACTAGAGAAACATTTTCAAATGTGCAAAAAGGGATTTGCATATAGATTCTATACCACTGTCTTGGAGTCAATGGAGGTATATTTTGAATTTTTGTGTGAATATTCATTTATCTATTTCGCACATTCATTTGGAACTTTGAATTGCTAGTGTTAGAATTAGCAATAATATACAGGCTGTCCCATTTTCGATGTCCTTGTTCGGGATATCTCACTTATTTGCAAAGATAGAGTTTTGCGGTTTCTGCAAACGTCTGCTACTTTTTTGTGAAACTCACGATACCGCAAACAAAATTTGCATAACTCGCTTCGTTTTTGAGGTACAGGGCGAAATTGAAAATGTTGCATTATGGAAACCTTCCTGTATATCAGTTATGTTTCAACTTATCGAGACAATAAGAAATACCTTTCACACATTTTTTCACATAGAATCCAGTGGGGTAGTCAGATTTTAGAAATAAGCTACAATTATGCAGATACAACCCGAAGTAATGTTTTTTAAATATTTTCATATTTGACACAATGAGGCTTTGCGCCTTCTGGATAAATAACACTCATATAATATTTTGAGTATGAGCCATGAAATTAGATAGTTTCTAGTTTTCCAGAGGATTTTTCGATGGGCCTCGTAAATATGTGGCAACATGGTCCATATCACAAATTTTTATATTCACCTTATTACTGACACAATTTTTGTCACACACAAGACTCAATTTCAACAACATTCAACATTTACGATTATTCAGTACTATTTATTGAAATGTTTTTTAATCCTGGTCACCTACCTGTCGAATTTAGAAAGGACCCCGCACTAAACTATAGGGAAATGGCTCTCGATGAAAATCGCTGAATTTTTGGTATTTTGCAGAGTTTGATATACTGAACAGATATTCCATTGAACTAACCTCAGAAAATGGATAGTTTTTCCGATATTGACCTCCAAATGTCATTGTATCGAGAAAAAAAAAGTATCTGAAAATGGTTGAATTTTTGGAATGTTGTAGATAGGAATGAACTGGTGAAAAAATCCAATTGACCTAACCTCCAAAAATTGACAGTTTTCTCGATATTGACCTCCAAATGTAATTTTTTCAAGAGAAAAAAACTTCTAAAAAGGCTGAATTTCTAGTATGTTGTAGATACGAATGAACTGATGGAAAAATTCAATTGACCTAACCTCAACAAATCGACGGTTTTTTTTATATTGACCTCCAAATGTACGTAAGGAAAATAAGATAAATGGAACAATAATCAAGACAATTTTCGAATTAGTATTTGGCATTTCATCCTTCTGAAAACAACTTGAAGCCGAAGAGAGGATGTAATGAAATGAATATTATTTAAAAGATGGTTATAGTCTCCGTTATAGTCTTTCCGATGTCAATGGGGTTGTAGGTATACACACTAGTCGAATTTATGCCATATATATCTAATTTATTTCGATCATTCCATCTATTATGAGTTTTTTGAGTTTAGGTCAATATGATTTTTTCATCAGTTCATCCATATATAATAATAATAATAATAATAATAATAATAATAATAATAAACGGCTTTATTATTTTCAGTACTGTACAATATTGACATACATTTTTATCAGTAGATAATATGGACTGAAAATAAAAGGCGAAGTTCAATTCACATAGTAGGTAAACCTATTATTGCCTTGTTCTTCCACTCAACCTACAACATATCTACTTAATCCAGCCATTTTCATAAATTATTTTTCGAAAAAATTATATTTGGAGGTCAATGTCGAAAAAACTGTCAATTTTTTGAGGTTGAGTCAATTCAATTTTTTCATCAGATTATTCCTATCTACAACATACCAGAAATTCA